TGATTTTCTTGCAGCTCAGATGCCCACTCCTGGTCGGGTTCCAGGACCCCCCCCCCCCCCCCCTCGCCAGCATTGTCCGCTTCAGGCCACGTTTTGGGGGCGCGTCCGAGGGCTCAGCGAGTAAGACTGCGGAAGGGTCCGCACGTCTTCCCAAGGCTGCCTCTACCAGCTACTTAGGGCGCTGAAGAATGGAGAAGCATTGCGTGACCAACGTGGAGACTCAGGGGTTGGCTGGACAGACACCACGCGGGAGGACTCAGAAAACAGGCTTTGGAGGTCCAGGCGAGCGCCTGGAGCGACTCAGCTCGCTGGCATCCACTCTGCACATGGGGGGTCGAGAGTGAGCTTTGCCCGATCTTCCAGCTGGGAAAGCTTGAGCTTGCATATCGTGGGCGCAGTGAGGGCCCGCAGCACCGCCATTCAACCGCGGGGGGAGCCTCGGCACGGCAGCAAACAGCGGGCACGACACAATCCAGGGCACTTCGTACCCTTCAGGCTCGCATTCTGGACCTTCAGAGGCGCTGTCAGCACGCGTCGCATGATGAACAGGTGCGCGCTTGGGTGCGCATGGTCGACTTCATGGGGGGAAGGGCCGACCGAAAGCTTCCTAAACATATTGCGCAACATGTTCTGGATGATGCTGTGCACTTTCTGGTGTGTATCATTGCTCCGCCCCCTCGCATGCACCCGCACATGGCGCTGTTTCTTGGCACCTGTCTCGTGAAGCAGGCTGAAGCTATTGAGAACAAGTTAGCCCGGCAGCGCGCAAAGTCGTTCCGTGCTTGGGTACGCAAGTCTCTAGCACAATCGCCTGGTGCAGTGCACCGATGGACGAAGCCGAAAGGATGGCAACTCTGGTACGTGGATACCCCTAGTGGTCCCTCAAGCCTCCCCATGGACATTGTGGGCTCCCAGCGGAAGTTCTGGGCCAAGATTTGGGATGCGTCTCGGGGATCCAGGAGACGCCAGGCGACAACCTCCTGGGGGACCTGCAGGACCTTCTGGGAAGAGTGCCTAGATATCCACCTTTGCGGATATCAGACCTTCACAGGGCTGCCCTGAGGCTTCCATCAAGCACTGCAGTTGGGTCGGACAGGTTCAGACCGCGTCACTGAGCCCCCGTGTCCAACGGTGGCCTCTCGCTCCTAGGCTACATAATGCATCTATGTGGGTATTGGGGTATTTGGCCTACTCTCATGCAGAACACCCACATTGTCCTCCTAGCCAAACCCACCGGAGGGTACCGTCCTATTTCCCGACTAAATAAAGTCTATCGGTTGTGGGGCAAGGCCAGGCTCGATTGGGTGCGGTCTCGGGCATCAAGTCAGGGGGGGCCGTATTTGGCGCTGGGGGCACAGAAGTCCACCGCCGACGTGACTGCACGACTTCTAGTGCAGGTTGAAACCGCATCTATTCAGAATGCAGACAGCAACACCACAGTACAAGCAATTGTGGACATCGAGAAGTGTTTTGATCGAGTGCCCTGGAGGCGACTGTTAGGCGCGACTGTCGCGCATTCGTTCCTAGGTCGCCTGCTTGTCCTCGCCATGAGGATGTACATGGGCGCTCGGCGTGTCTCATGGGAAGGCTGCCTCTCGCGCCCAGTATGAGCGACCAGAAGCGTTCTGCCAGGCTGTCCGATGGCGAGGTTTTGCCTGCAGCTCATCATGTTTTCCCCCTTCGGCCCCCTCTTTCAACGCACTACGCGGATCTCGAAGACGATTGATTTGTGCGCCGACGATGTCACGATTGCGATCATGGGGGCGGCCACTATGATTATTGAGGCGGCTGTTAAGATTTTTGCTATATTGGTAGATGTTGTGGAAGGGATGGGCCGCAACCCCGCCACCCACAAAATGACGGCCACATCGAGTAATCCCAAGAGCGGTCGAGTCGTACAGGGCAGGGTGAGAACATGCCAGCGATCGATATGCAATGGCTTTAGAGGTCCCGGGAATAGAAGTCGCTGCAGGGCGACCGCTTCGATTTCGCAAACTTGGGTCGCATTCGAGCCACTAAGAGACGACTTCCTCGCATCTCCACTCTTCGGAAGGCTGGGGCTGTGGTCTCACGGCATGCCCGACAGGCGCTGGCGTCGGTCATGCAGTGCGGAGTTGGAGCGCATGGCGCTCCGCCCTCTTTGGTGCGTCAGATGCGGAGCGTGATGGGAAGCACGCGGTGCACCCTTGGGGCCTCCACTTCATCATGGATCACCTCCTGCCTCCAGGGTACTCACTCCGAAGATCCTCAGATAGCTTGTTGGGTCCAACCCGTCTTCCAGCGGGCCCTCCTGGTCTGTGACAAGAACATATCTCATGACATTCTGCAGCAGGCGTGGAGGAGGCAGGTGTTTCGCGTCGTCAAGACCACCAAGCCCTGGGCAAAGGTGGTAGGCACCATTGGTGCCATGTTGCTTGCTTTGAGAGGCTTGGGCTGGCGCTCTACTTCTGCTTGGGAATTTGTCACTGATAAATGCGAAAGAGTTGATTTTCGCACGGCAGCACCAGTCAATGCGCGAGACCTTGCCCGCGCCGCTGGTGCGCGACGCCTTTGGGAAGCTTGGGCCAGCAGGAACAACCCAGCGGACCTCGCCATGGATTCCATGGGGCCCCTCGGTTACTGGATGGGGCCCATCATAGGCCTCCTGCCAGGTGCCCCAAATGCTCCCGAAGATGAGTGGGGTACATCTCGACCGCCGCTTCGGGTTCCCAGCTATGCGGCAGCGGCTATGATACGCACTATTGTGAGTGGTGGTTTCTGGCCCCCTTCTCGGCTGTACCTGAACGGCTACGCCCGCGCCTCCGAATCCCCACATTGCGAAGAGGACCAGGGCAACAGCTACCACATCTCCTGTGACTGCAACGGCAGGGCACACCAGGTACATCAGGCATTAGACGGTGTCGGCATGCGTGGGTTCCCAGCAGTCTCGGCGGCGTCTTGGTTCTGGGCGAGAGGTCTAGCTCCGAGATCGTGTTCCCCCCCGCTACCCAGGCGGGGCGACGATCATCGATGGCATGTGCACGATCGTTCTCTCGACGTGGTCACGGGGAAATCTTCGCGGGCGGTGCGTGCCCGAAAGCGTGGTTCTGGCCAGAAGCTACGAGAGCGGGTCGGGGGTTTGCCAACTTGCAGGACGGGCCAGGCGGCATTGAATTATTGGTCTACGGTGCTCTTCGTGGGCCCTCTCAGAGCTCACCGCGTGCTGAACTATATAAGTGTCTTCAAGTACTGAATGCATGTACCCCGCGCATTCACGTCCACGCGGGCTTCTAGGGGATCGTAGATGGGCTTGCTGCAGGCCCAGCTTGTGCATGCGGGCCTCGCAGGCCCAATGCAGATCTATGGACCCCCCATCTGGGCCAAGATTGAGGATCTCGGGTGCCTTGGAGAGGCCATGCAGGTCACGCACGTTCGGGGGCGCCAAACGGGGGACTCGTTTCCGACATGTGCTGCGCTGGCTGGTGACTGCGCACCTGCACCATGTCGGGTCTGGCCGAACCCAGACCGAGCCTCGCCCTAGTAAGAAGGCTAGGTTGACGCGAGAGCCGCCCCCTGATGCACGGATAGAGCCGAACCTGCGCCACGTAACGATTAAGGCCCAAGGGAGTCTATGGCATGTGTATTTGTTGTAGGGCTGGGGGGGAGGACCGAAGCCTCGGTGAAGCGGAAGGGCGCCGAGAGGCGCTTGGCCGGTGGTTTTGTTCCTGGGATGTGTGAGGTCGCTTCGGCCCCCCCGAACGTCGGGGTTCCGGGTGATCCCCGTCTTTCGGAAGAGGTCGGTCGAGGCGGTGAACATTGGTCCTCTGCGTCGTCAGGCGCCGACGCCGACGGCCGTGCTGCCACTTCCTTGCAGCCTTCCCTTTTCCTGGGCTCTCCTGGGTAAGTGGACTTCCAAGGGACTCCGCGGGGCGGGGAGGGTCTGAAGCGCGAGCGAGATGGCGAGCCTCTGGAGGCCCGTCATCAACGATTGAAACCTACTGGCACCAGGACGCGCGAGCGTCCCAGGTCGCCTAGCGCGTGAAGTGTCAAGAGGCGAGTTGACTTTAACACAACCGTCGAGCACAGCTCTCCTGATGCCAGCCTGCTGCAGGTTGCGAGTGATAAGATTTTGGCCCCTGGGGGTGCTAAAGCAACCACCACCGTGGCCCCTATGCGTCCTGGACCTGCTCTTGTGCCGAGTTCCAAGCGCCGTCGCACTACCCCTGAACGGAACAATCGGCCCACCAGGGCCGAGGAAACCATTCCCGCCGCCCCTGTGCCGTTGCTCGGTGTGGTCCCCGCGGAGTCTGCGAGAGGCCACCGTCTCTGGGCATCCCCGGGGCAGGTGGTGATTTGAGTTTCGTGTGGATTTTACAGCATGTGGCACTTCGGGCCACCTTATGATAGACTGTCAAGCGCACGAAGGGCACACCATGTCAGAGCGCGCCCAGCGAAACCGACGACTTTTTCTCTCGGGACGGCACCCCGCCGACGAGTGGCAAGGCCGATGGTCGGCTTTCCCTGGTCCGAGGTCACTCCTGACCACGGACCCCGAAACCCGATGGGTTCGGCTCCTGGTGGAGCCATCGTTTCCTTTTCTTCTGGGCACTGGCGGCTTCAGCCCCTGAGGCCGCGCTAACTCTTGAATTCGGTGCCGCTATTCCATAACAAGTTTGGCCCTGTGTGCGGGCGGCCGAGATCCATCCGGTGGGCCCCCGCATGCTCCAGGACACGGGTGGCACGTCCATTCGTGGCGCCCCTCCCCATAGGTGGTCGTCTGTGCTCTGCGCGACGTTCCCCTGCAGTGCCCTATCCTCCTCCTCCTCCTCCTCCTCCTCCTCCTCCTCCTCCTCCTCCTCCTCCTCCTCCTCCTCCTCCACTTCCTCGCCAGGGACCACTGGACGGCCCGCATCACCAGGACCCTCCTCGTCAATCATCGCTTTACGCGACGGCTGTGGATACTGCAGCTCCTCCTCCTCGAGGGGCCTCTGGGGCAGGGGGGCCGGACGCGCACGCGCCAGGCGGACCTGGAGGCCAGCATCTACAAGACGAAGCGGATGCAGCAGGCGAGCGTGCGCTCCGCCCCGCCCGCGGGCCTCCTCGTCCTCCTCCTCGCCCTCCTCCTCCTCGTCCTCCTCGCCCACGACCCCGCGTCCTCGCTCCTCTCGTCGTCCTCCTCGCCCTCCTTCTCCTCCTCCCCCCCTCCTCCTCCTCCTCCTCGTCTCTCCTCCTCTCCTCCTCCTCCCTCTCCTCCTCTTTCTCCTCCTCCTCCTCCTCCTCCTCCTCCTCCCCTCCTCCTCCTCCTCCTCCTCCTCCTCCTCCTCCTCCTCCTCCCCCTCCCCCTCCCCCTCCCCCTCCTCCCCCCCCCCAACGCTGTCGTGGCCTGTGGCCGCCCGCGGGGGGGGGGTGCGGAGGCCGAAGCGCGCGCCGCACGCCGCGGCCCTCTCCGCCGCGGTGGGCCCTTCGGTCGGCGGATGTGTGGCAGGCGAGCGCGCGACCGCTGCAGTCAACACACACAGTAAGGATGGGCAACCTTCCCGAGGGTACCCTTGCATCCTTGCCTCCTCGGTCCATCCTTGGCCACTTTCGCTGGCCGCGCCGCGTTCGAAAAGCTTCGATGTGGCCTTCCAAGGCCCTTGCATCCTTATCGTGCGTCCTTACTGTGCAGGTTGACTGTCCCCCACGCTGTCGCGGCCTCACACGCTGGTCGTTGGAAGTACACCGCTCGGCAGCAAGTCCTGGGAGCCCGGCTAGCTCAAGCTGATACGCGCATCGACTACATTTCTATGTACTTCGTTGATTACTTATAAAGTCAGAGCTGAGTACTCAGCTAAGTGCTTAGCGAAGTACTTAGCTCTGAACATGTAGAACTACTTCGTAAGTTCCAAGTTATGTACCTAGCCAGATGTGCTAGGTACTTGGAATACACTTCTAAGTGCTTAGCTAAGGTGATAGGTGGCGCCTACCCTCTCAGTTCCATCTTCAGCGTCGACGGACGGACTCTTCGCATGTAGCGAAGAGTTTCAGCAAGATCCGCAGCGGGATCTATCCCAAGTCACACCCAGATGGGTGGCAGAGTGTCGAGGACCTCCTGGCTGAGCACCCCACGAGAGGTGCTGCGTTGGCCAAAAGGGAGAGTCATAGATCAGTGAACGATGTGAGCGACCAGGAAGCCGACCCGTGATCTCATCTTCTGCATGCGATGGCCGACGGTACTGCCGAAGAGTGGGCCATGCGCCTTCGCGTGCCGGAGCAGCACGGGGACCGCGGGCCCCACGCGCGAGCGATGGCCTACCAGGGTCCGTCAGCACCTGGGCCACTCTTTTCCGGCGTCGATCGAGTCCGATAGTATCGGGGGTGGACAGACCTCCTACCCTGACACGTCGATTAAGGAATTGGCCGTTTTCGGTGCGCGAGAGTGCGTCGCGGCCGTCATTTTTGCGGGTCCAGGTCCGTCGGTTTCGGTCCCAGGCCGTTTTCACTAAGGGGAGGTTTACTAAAGGGAGGTTGGTCCACCGCGGATTAGTAGTAGAGCGCCGAGGGAAGCCACTCTCCGTCCCAAGAGGCGCCAGATTAAGGATCAGCTCCTGCTCACAGCCCATCAGCCAGTCATGGGTATTGGCTCCCAGGTCAGGTGTCACACGGATGGAGGATGCGCGCCATACAGGATGGCTGATAAATGTTTAGCAGCCCCATGCCACCAGGGCTTGTTTGAGGGGCTGATGATGGTGCCCACCAATAGCACAGTGAATGGCAAAGACTTGCACAGCTCCCATGAATTGGCGTATCACAAGGGATTTGGGAGCACAGTCTGTTTGGCGTGTGGCTGTGTGGCCACACAGGCCGCTCGTAATTTGGCCGAAGTATAGTATGCAATAATCGTTTGAAACTATACGGCAAGAGGCAAGTGACGAAGCATCATCAAGGCTTGCCCTCTGGTTCGTGTAAGCTTACCAGGAGTCAAGCGATCCAGAACAGTGTCATGCATTAAACGGTTCAATTTTGCTGGAGGCAGGATCGAACAAACGTTCGTCTTCAGCGCCGACTAGCGTCTGGGAGTCAATGAGATAGCGCCGAGTTAGCGTCGGCTAGCGTCGATGAGCCTCGACTCGCGTCGATGAGCGTGAAGCCGACAAAAGGGTATGGGAGGTTCCCACGAGTTGTCACCGAACAGCCAACCCACATTGCTCGGATGACCCACTTCCCAGGGTCACCCGTTCATCCTTCCCTTCTGGCCCATCCGTGGCCGCTTTCGCTGGCCGCGCTCCGCCCGCAAAGTGCCGCCATGGACTTCCAAGGCCCGCGCATCGTCGTCGTAGGCCCCTCTTGTGCATGTGGACTGTAGGTATCTGTGGGCTGCCAGATCCCAATCTGCTGCGGGCGCTCTCCTGCGGCAGAAGCCGGCGCGCGCTCGCTGCTCTGTGCACCCCCTGGGCGGGCCCGAGCCCACTCTGCCGCCTCCGCTCCCGCTGCACGGCTATGCCTGCCTCTTCGGGCTGGCGGGCAGGTCGGAGAACCGTTCCGCGGAGGTCCCTCTCGGGCCCCTCTCCCTGGCGCGCTCCTCCTCCTACTCCTCCTCCTCCTCCTCCTCCTACTCCTACTCCTCCTCCTCCTCCTCCTCCTCCGCCTCCGCCTCCGCCTCCGCCTCCTCCTCTTCCTCCTCCTCCTCCTCCTCCGCCGCCTCCTCCTCCTCCTCCTCCTCCCTCCTCCTCCTCCTCCTCCTCCTCCTCCTCCTCGTCCCCCCCCTCCTCCTTCCCCCCCCTGGGCGCGCTCCGCGCGCCAGGGAGGGGGGGGGCCCAACGGCGGTCCAGGGCATCCGCTCGGACCTCCGATGGCCGACGGCGAGCGAGGGGGGCGGGCGGGAAGGCGGAGGCCCCCGCAGAGGGCGGCGGGGCTCCCCGGAAGCCCCCGCGCCGTCCTGGGGGTCTGTTCTGTCCTCGGGAGACTCCTCGGAAGGCCGGGGGGCTTCCGAGCCAGCCCGATCTATAGTTTTTTGGTTTGCGGGTCCGGGGGCGGGCCCCTTCCGGTCAAGAGCGAAGCGGGACGCGGGTAGCCCCAATTGGGGAGACAGGGCGCGGGCGGGCGGGGCCTCAGGCGGCCGGAGGGCTCAGAAAACAGGCGGTGCCGAAGATCTTGCACAGGACAAGGTACGCCATGGATTGGAGCAGAGGGCGCGGTCCCACAGGGAAAGTCAGCCCGATCTACAGTCGAGCCAGCATCTGGTGGAGAGACCTCCCAGAGAATCTGGGCCAGCGTCTGTTCACCAACTTGCTGGAAAGTTGGCGCAGGTTCTTGGGCACGTTGGCCCCTCCAAGCGTTCACGACAGAAACTTTCGGGGCTCTCTTGGGGCTCTCCCTTGGAAGCCCTGGAGGCCCCTTTGAGGCCATCTGGGAGGAGGTCGGAGGCCCAAAAGGAGGCTGCTATGTAATTAGTTTGGAGGCCGGGCGCCCCGACTCCTGCAGCCAGGCCACTCGTCAAGGAGAGTCCCCAAAAGCCTTCGGAGGTCGCCGCTTTGAAGGCTTCAGACGCCCAGCAAAAATGCCGACATCGTTGTACCAAGTAATGACAGCAAGGCCGTGGATCACTCAGGCAAGTCCACAAACGCCCAGCCCACCATCGCCCAGGAGCGCCAGAGCACGATGGCCGCCCACCATTCCCAAGGCAGTCCCCCCCCCCCAGTCGGCCCACCAGTGCTCCGACGGGGACGGCCGCGAGCCACGGGACGATGGCCACCAGGCGAGCGGCACCGCCCAACGCACGGACAGCAGGCAGGCCCCCACGCAGCGCTTCGCGTCGGCAGACGGCCAGCAGCAAAGGGACCGCGAGACCACCCCCCCGCCGGTACACAAGCGCCCGAGCACTGTGCCAACTGGCTGGCACACCCTCGTCAGCAGCTGCAGGAGCGAGCCGTCCCGCGGATCGAGTGGTCCCGCCGAGCGCAAGGAGGCCTGGCGCGGCCTGCGGCAGGCCTTCCGGCCTGCTGCGGCTGTGGGGCCGCCCTCCCCCCCGAGGGCAACTTCCGAGCCTCGCTCGACGCTCAAGGGGCGGCGCACCATTGCTCCCCCCCCCTTTTATGGCGCTGTTTTCCACCACCAACACCACCATAAGTTGGAGGGGGAGGGGGTCCTCCTGCTCCTCCTGCTCCTCCTTCTCCTCCTCCTCCTCCTCCTCCTCCTCCTGCTCCTGCTCTCCTCCTCCTCCTCCTCCTCCTCCTCCTCCTCATCCTCCTCTTCGTCCTCCCCCTCCTCCTCCTCCTCCTCCTCCTCCTCCTCCTTCCCCTCTCCAGCTTATGGTGGTGGTGGTGGCAGACGGGCCCATCACCCCTCCCTTCCCCCTCACCGTTGGCACCTGCTCCATCGCCCGCTCTCCCCGGGCCTCTGCGGGGGATGCCCCACGGGGGGCGCTCGCCGCGGCCCCTGGCCGCCGAGACGCGCAGGCCGAGGCGCGCCGAAAGCCCGTGCCCCCCCCCCCCCCCCCCAGTTCTATTCGCGGCAGAGGAGGAGGAGGAGGAGGAGGAGGAGGAGGAGGGAGGAGGAGGGAGGAGGAGGAGGAGGAGGAGGAGGAGGAGGAAGGGAGGAGGAGGGGAAGGAGGAGGAGGAGGGCGCAGGCGGGCCTCCCGGCGGCCTGCTCACCGGCGCTTGCCGCTTTATCCAGACGGGGCCCTCGTGTGGGTGGGGCGGCGAAGAGGGGGGCGATGGCTTAGGCTTGTGGGCGGGGCCGCTTGTCCACATCCTCACTGATCTGCGCCTCTCGGGCCGGCCCCCCAGGCCTCCGACCCGGCCCAGGACGGGCCCAGCACCATCGCAGGCCATGCTCGGGGGCGGCAAAGAGGGGGGTGATGACTAGGGGGGGATCTCAGGGCGGGGGCCATGACAGCTCCGCAGATTTCACGGCGCCTCTTCTGATTCCATTACGTCCCCTGGCCCCCCCCCCCACTGGGCCGCGCACATGCAGCCGGCCATGATTTGCGCCCCCCCCTCTTGGACGCCCCCCTCTTGGCCGCTCCCGACTTGTGGCCGCGCCAGGGGGGAGGTACGGCAGGTTCGCGTCGTGCCGACCAGCGGCGACCCCAGCGCTTGCGTTTAAGGCTGAACGCCGCCCGTGGCCCAGAATCGGCCCGTCGTTGAGCGACCCGGCGTTCGCGGAGCGGCCGATCGTTCCAGTTTGAACGATCCCCGCGGTGTCAGTCGAGGGAGAAAAACCACCCAGACCGGACAATTGGCGTTTTTTAACCGGCCCTGGGCCCTGGGCGTTTACTAAAAGCCTTTCCCTGCTGGTTTCCTTGGGTGCGTTTACTAAACGGCTTCGCTTGTCGGGGTGATTATTATGGGGGTGGATTTTCTGCCCTCTAGTCAGGAACCAACGCCGAGGTCGACACGACGCGAACCTGCCTTAGACCCACCACCCCTGTTTCATGTACGGCGCCTCCCGCTGGTGCGAGGGCGATCTGCCAGGCGCCCGCGGGCCGGGAATTCGGGGCTGACACGCAGCCTGAAGTGTTGCGCGCTCTCTCTCTCTCCTTCTCTCTCTCTCTCTCCTCCTCTCCTCCTCCTCCTCCCTCCTCCTCCTCCTCCTCCTCCTCCTCCTCCTCCTCCTCCTCCTCCTCCTCCTCCTCCTCCTCCTCCTCCTCCTCCTCCTCCTCCTCCTCCTCCTCCTCCTCCTCCTCCTCCTCCTCCTCCTCTTTCTGTCCCTCGCCTCAGTGCCCCCCCTGGCCGCCGCCGGCGCCCTGGGGCTCCGCAGGAGCAGCAGGAGGAGAATGGGCGCCTGCGCACGTACCTCTCCAAGTGCAAGGCTGGCCGCCGCCACAGGGCTGAAGGGGTGGAGGGGGGGCGAGTGAGGGAGGCAGAGGGGGGGAGGAGGAGGAGGAGGAGGAGGAGGAGGAGGAGGAGGAGGAGGAGGAGGAGGAGGAGGAGGAGGAGGAGGAGGAGGAGGAGGAGGAGGTGTCGTCGCGACGCTCCTGGAGCTCAGAGCGGGCGCAAGCGCGGGCGCGGTGGCAAAGGGACCCGCGCCGCGGCCTTAGGAGGAGGAGGAGGAGGAGGAGGAGGAGGAGGAGGAGGAGGAGGAGGAGGAGGAGGAGGAGGAGGACGGGGGCAGGAACCAGAGGAGGGAGGAGGGACCAAAGGAGAGGCAGACCTCCCTGTCCACACGTTCGCCGCCCCGCGGAGGGCCCCCCCCCGCGGGCCCGGCCGGCGGCTCCGCGCAATTGGCATGTGTCCCGGCCCGGGCTCGCGATGAACCTTGCTGGCGCGTGCCTTGCCCGCGCGGCGGGCTCCGCGTCGTTGCCCGCCCAGCGGCAGTGCCTCCTCACGCGCGCGCGTTGCGTGCACCGCTGCCGCGCAGGGGAGTCCGAGAAGCCGGACCTTCGCTGCAAACTCGCGCAGGTTGTCCATGTCCATGAGCATCCACTCGGCCAGTCCAGGCAGGGGCGTCCATTCCGCCACCAGGACGGCGTGCAGCGCCTCGGTGCCCAGGCACCAGGCTAGCAGCTGATGCAGGCTTGCCGCTTCGTGCCCGCACAGGGCGCAAGTGATCGGCATGCGGGTGGCCGCCCTGCCCCAGATGGCAGAAACTGGTGTTGCTACTGCGGGGTCAGGCGCGTTTGCTGCGCGAGCAGAGCCTGAGTCTGCAGCTGGACGAGCTGCTGATGCTGCTGCTGCGGGGCGAGGTTGTCTCCAGCGGGCGGAGGCGCCTTCGGCGCCTCTTTGGTTGCTGCGGGTAAGTACTGCAGCGCGAAGTCGGATTGCCGCTCGTGCCCAGGCGCATGGCCGCGCTAGGGCGGCCGGCGCTGGCCAGGCGCCTGGCTTGCGGCCTGGACCCCAGACCTCCTCCTCGTCGTCCTCCTCCTCCTCCTCCTCCTTCTCCTTTTCCTCCTCCTCCTCCTCCCCCTCCTCCTCCTCCTCCTCCTCCTCCATGAAAAAATGCGACGGGAGGTTTTCCTCTTCTGCGAAGGCCTTGTGGCCGGCGCCGCCGACCCTGAAGGTGGAACCTCCCCCGGGACGGCAGCCGCTGGTTTCGCCTGGGGCTGTTTTCGCCCGGCTGGTTTCGCCCAGCTGGTTTCGCCCAGCTGGTTTCGCCCGGGCTGGTTTCGCCCGACGTTGGTTTCGCCCGGGCTGGTTTCGCCCGGCTGGTTTCGCCCGGCTGGTTTCGCCCGGCTGCTGGAGCAGGAAGAGGAGGAGGAGGAGGAGGAGGAGGAGGAGGAGGAGGAGGAGGAGGAGGAGGTGGAGTCTCTCTCTCTCTCTCTCACTGCCCATTCAAGCAATCTCTGGAACAGAAGTCCTTCTGAAGATTTGCTTTGGGCGGGGGGGATCCTTCAGAACCCTTACCCTCTCTAGTCAGTTCCCGTTCGCGGCGACAGCAAGGCAGAAGCGAGCACTGCCTCGCCTGCGCGGGGGCGCGGCCTGGCGAGTGGCCTGAGGGCTGATTCATAATTTTCTCACGAACGAGTTCACAGCGTACCGAGACACCATGCATGCAGAGGTCGCAATCATTGGGTTACTATGGATATGAATGCACCAAGAGTCCTTCTTCCTTCAGAGTCAGAACCAATCCCATCAAAAGAGAAACGAATTGATATTGCCAACGAGACGGCTGCATCAGAAATCCCATCCACTGCAAAGATATGACACCGATCAAATGCACGTGCACAGCAGCTCAGGTAAGAGTGATATCCATCAACTGTGCACTTCACAACTTATTTACGGCGCTTTCCTCCACGGCCAACCTGTCGTACTAGATTGCCTCGTGGGTCTCGGCCTGATAGGATCTGACCTCCCATGGATCTGAACGCTTCTGATAACATCAACTCCACTGGAATGCGCACGCCTTCGATCTGGAGGTGGTTCGTGGGCATCTCCACTGGTGTCGGCTGGTAGAGTGGGTTCTCGGCTCCTTGTGGATTCTCGTCTCCCTGTGGGCTCAGATCTTTCAGCATCTCGGCGCGCTGATCGATCGATTTGGGCAGCACGAGTTCTCCTCTGCAACATAATATAATGCGCACTTTGGGTTCCTTGCCTGGCTTTTGGAACGTCGGAAGAAGCAACATTTCTTTGACCCACCTCGCTCCCGCTGCCGGTCCTGCATTGTCTAGCATCACTTTCAGTCTGGCCAGACCTGCCAATCTCATCTGAAACCGTGCCGAAGAGTCCTTGTGCTCGTAACTCAGCATAACGTCGAGAGCCCCTGAAGGGCAATGGCACGCTGGCGGGCCGTGGTCGGTGTCTGGCTGCTCCTTGCGCGGCTTGATGTACGCCTGGAAGTACTTGCTGATATCGCTGGACACTTCGCTCTTCTTGCTGATCAACACCGTGCTCATGGCCTCTTTTTCTAGCGCACGAACTCGACTCTGAAGTTGGATGAGCAAGGCCTCCATGATCTCGAGCGTCTTCTCCACGCCTGAGCTCTCCTCGTTCTCGTCGTCTTCCGCCCCCTTCAGCTTCTTGTCGGGGCCTCCTGCCACTGCGAAACTGGCTCCACGTGGCCTCGCTGGTCTCGCGATCCAGTTCGAGCCCTTGCTCCTGTCCCCCATAGCAGCGCTGCTCCTTGATATGAGGTGACGGTAGCAGTAAGGATATGATGTGTTCCCTCGCGTGCTCGAAATACTCGGCTGCGGAACTGAACTTTTCAAGACAGACAACACACTCGAGTTTAGGTTCAATGAGTTCCGATGCGAATCGTGAACGGTTTCGATGGCAATATTGTCGACCAACACTGGCAACGATATGTGGTTTCGCAACATCTTGATCTCGAAACGTGCTTTCACAGAATACACAAGCATTCCTGTTGGTGAGAGTTTGTGCTACATGTGCTCTGCCATGCGTGCCTCCGGCTGCTGACGCGATGTGTGCATATAGTTTTTTCCTCGGCCATGAGGAGTTGCAGACTGTGCCATCATCCCACAGCGCTTTGCCTATGTGTGCTCCACCTTCGCGCTCTTGCGATGGTGCTGCCTGTGCGTCAGCCTGCACAAGCAACCAGCGAGCTCGTAGCTCATTCATGTCGATGCTGCAGGACCCCTTGAATTCTTCGAGCAACATGGCACTGGTGGACATGCGTTCGTGCAAGCACGCTCCTGACTCGATGTCTCGAAGAGCGTCAACATCATCCTGAGCCTGGCGTGCCCATGGGTTGGCCTCGTGAGCCACACTCTCCTCGGCATCGAACACTGGATCGTCGAACTTTGCGTTTCCGAATACCACTGAAAGAGATTGTGCGTTATCGCCTCGATACCGAACCAGACTTTGAAGCCATGCCGGCCCCCCGATCCTAAGTTCCAGGAATAGCGGGGCCCTCCTAAACTTAGCCAGCACGCAGTTGCGGGAGATCGTCTTCTGATGTTGAGCCTCGGGGTCCCAGTGGGCGGTCATCGAGCATGGCCTTGCCCTTGCTTACGATGTAGCCTAGCAGGTGCCTAAGATCTCCTTCCCTGAGAGGACCTGACCCATGGGCCGCAACCCCCAAGCCCGAGAGTGCCGCGTTGACCAGGAGGCCTTTGACCATAGTCCGCTTCATGCCGAGGGGGGCCTCAGAATACCACAACCTGCCCATGCTATGAAACGCTGCTTTCACGGCATTCAATCGCTTGTGGAGCTCGGGCCCAGGAGTGAACGCGGTTGCTTGAAGTCCTCCGAGACATTTGCAACGATGCATTGCGCGACCAGCAACTCCCTCGACAAGACCTCGGCAAATCTACGTTGAACATTGTGGGCTCCACGGCCGCGAAGACACGGACTGTTCGCCTGCTTTGAAGCGTTCGGTCCTGCGCCAATCCTCCCGAGCCCCCCCGCCCACCGCCTGATTATCCAGATGACCCCCCCTGCTGATCGCATCCCCCATCTCGCCCTCCCCCTCCCCCAGTACTTCGCGGGCGATGTTGTGGACATGGCCAGTCATAGCAAACTGCTCGACCCAATCCACACTCCATGGAAGGGCTGCTGCCAGAAACTGATGCCAACTCTGAATGACCGTCAAGCCGGCATAACCTTCTAAAACTGGCTCCGCGCACGTGCGGCAGAACAACTGCGTCGCCCCAGTGCCCCCAGGAAGCAAACCACTTTTGCCCGATTCCGAAGCGAGCCCGATTCACCTTTCAGGAGGAAACTACTGTGCGATATCCGATCCATGATAAAATTCCGATCCTCTGGGGCATAGCAGGAATCAATGCACTCGAATATTTTGTCGTGCTGCACAGTGTAGTATGCGTTGACCGCATCATGACATCTCTGCAGGTGAGAATTGCCAGCTGCTTACATCCTGACGCTTCCCGCCATCTGAACTCCAATCGCTGTCTCTTTTCTCCGCCTCCTTAGACCTCCGCGCACCCAGTTAGGCGGCGTCCACCTCGGGGTCTTCATAGCCAAAACAGCGCCGTGAAACGCGCGTCCAAGGGTACACATCACCATGATTAATATCTCACCCCCGGTGTCCAACTTCGAACTGTTTTCTTGGTGTCCTGGCAGCTTGGGCCGAGTGCCGCGCTACTGGGAATCTTTTGTGTTGGCGGCAAGTGGTCACCAACGCTCTTAGCGTGTCTTGTGCATTGCTGATGCCAGGGAGTTCTTCTTCGAATCCTAGCCCGTGCCGAGCTCGAGGTTTTCGATCGTTGGTCCATTTGGGGTGAAGCACTAGCTTTAAACACTCTGGTGGCGTGCTCCATCTTGGCCACGCGCGCCAGTATCTCAACTTCCAAACGCTCTTCGGAAGCTCATTGAGGCCCTCAGCCGCTAGATCAGCCGCTCCGCTGGCCTCGAGAGGAACTCGCCCGAAGGAATCGATCTCGGAAATGATGGTGTTGGGGTCCTTGCTTACTGCGGCACATCCTCCGAGCATGGGGTTCTCTCCTCATCTTGAGAGTCCTACTCGAGTCTGGCGCTGCTGAACCTGGAAGAAATGCGAAACGGCGTTGCCGTGGCCCTCGCCTGTGGCACGCTAGCAATCTGGCCAACGTCTGAACGCAATAGCTGTCCTGCTCTTTGGCTGCTTGTCGAATCTCCTTACATCTGCGCTGCTGTATGTCGTGCCAGTGCTGTTGGCTGTGCTGCCGAACCTGCTTGCGCAACTCATGCACCCTCCTCCTCCTCCGCGTCTTTCTGCTCAGCTCGTAACCACCGTCTTGCTGCTAGTAAGGCTCGTAGTTCAACTAAATGCTGCGTCTATGATTCAGTATACATAGGCGACTCATGAAGCACGTTCACTACAGCCTCGTTTAGGATCGCCATGAACATTTTACTCATCTTGTCTAACTTGCCGCCTTCCCTCGCCTCGTTGAATTCCTCGCTTTTCTCCTCCGCAATCCTCTCCACCTCCTCAAAAACTTCTCTCCGCTTGTGCCCCCGCTGCACACATTAGTGCAGGGCTTCGCGATTGGGTCTCGGCCCTCTGCGGGGCATGGGCTCACTCGTGAGCTGCAGGAGAATGCTGATGGAGACAGGGCGATGATCCCGTGCCTCATTGCCACCAACAAGTTGCAATCTACGTGCAGACGAACGCAAAATAATAACCTTCCCCACTGCGTTGCACAAATATGTTCGGATCATGATGTGATCGATATAGCTCGAGCCGCCCTGGTTGGAGATGAAGGTGAGAGCCGTGTCGTAGTGTGTGGTGGTAGCCGTCATCTCCCATCCTTCAAGAAGTGGCCTCCATCTCGCTGAACTAGGAGTGATTTTCCACGGCCGTACCTCGCTGCAACATGATCAATGTCCGAATACGGGAAGGCGCCGTTGACGTCGCTACACGTGATGGGAAGGGTTCCATGCTCTCTGAAGAATGCCATGGCCTCCGCAACCCAGTTGTTGATCATCTCTAGGGTTCTCCCATAGAAGGTTCGGCCTGTTCTGCTCGTCCCGCGAGGCGGGTAGTATACAGACATCCTCCCAATAATAATTCCACATCGCTGAAATAAAACTCCAACGCGTCGGCCCCGCATAAGTTTCGGTATTGGTAGGGTTCGCTTAAGAGAGCTGGGGGGAAAACCTGCTCCTTCGAACCAGAAGAGTCACCCCGCACGCTTTGCTCGCCATCGCTCCCCAGGAGTAGCCTGATTCGATGGTCCAATACTTTCCTATCGTCCTCCGCTCCTCCCATTGTTCGCTTCTAGACTTCAATTGAGTCCCAGTGCGAGAGGCTATGTCCTTGACCTCCAGCTCCTTCGTGATATCCGTGAGTCTGGCGCATGTGTTGGCTGCCATCGGGTTGTACTGCACGATGCGCACGAGCCCTGTCGACATCGCATCAGGGCGCTGGCCGCCACCTAGCGCCGCGGGCTCTCGGAGGGGTGTATGCCCCTCGAGGAATGTATGGATGGGGCCGCTTCGTGGGTGGCGCGCGTGCTAGCGCCAGACCTGGGCCACCTGGAGGAGGAGGAGGAGGAGGAGGAGGAGGAGGAGGAGGAGGAGGAGGAGAGGAGGAGGAGGAGGGAGGGAGGAGGGAAGAGGAGGAGGAGGAAGAGGAGGGAGGGATGGAGGCCGAGGAGAGAGGGGAGGAGGAGGCGTTGGCGGAGGAGGTGGCTGAGGGAGGGCAGGACCGGGGGAGGAGAGAGGAGGGTTAGGGCCCTGCCGCCCCGACCCGACTCGACCGTTAGGGCTCTCGCGTGCCCCTTCGATTATGCACCACCCTTTCATGTCCCGACCCACCTTTTAGGGTCCGCCCGACCCGACCCGACCCGACCGTTAAATCTCTCGCGTGTTTTCTCGATTATGCACCACGTTTGAATGTCCGCCCGCCCGACCCGACCCGCCCGTTAGGGTCCGCCCGTCCCGACCCGACCTGCTTGTGGGGTCGGCCCGACCCGGACCCGACCCGACCCGTTGGGCTCTCGCGTGACTCTCTCGATTGCGCACCACACTTTAATGTCCCGCCCGCCCGACCCGACCCGCCCGTTGGGGTCCGCCCGTCCCGTCCCGACCCGACCCGCCCGTTGGGGTCCGCCCGACCCGACCCGACCCGCCCTTCAGGGCTCTCGCGTGCCCACTCGATTATGCACCACAGTTCAATGTCCCGCCCGCCCGACCCGACCCGCCCGTTGGGGTCCGCCCGCCCGTCCCGACCCGACCCGCCCGTTGGGGTCCGCCCGCCCCGACCCGACCCGACCCGCCCGTTGGGGTCCGCCCGACCCCGCCCGACCCGCCCGTTAGGGCTCTCGCCCCGCAGCCTCTGCTGCCGCAGCCGCCTGCCGGCTCCGCTCGGGCGGAGCCGGCAGGCGGCTGCGGAGGAGGAGGAGGAGGAGGAGGAGGAGGACGAGGAGGAGGAAGAGGAGGAGGAGGAGGAGGAGGAGGAGGACGGAGGACAGGAGGAGGAGGGCCAGGAGGAAGAGGAGGAAGAAGAGGAGGAAGAGGAGGAGGAAGAGGAGGAGGAGGAGGAGGAGGAGGAGGAGGAGGAGGAGGAGGAGCGAGGAGGGGGAGGAGGACGAAGAGGACGAGGAGGAGTAGGACGACGACGGCAACGGCAACGACGACGACGACGACGGCGGCGGCGGCAGCGGACTTGGCGAGACCAGCCCCGGCGAAACCAGCGGGGCGAAACCAGCGGGGCGAAACCAGCGCTGGCGAAACCAGCGTCGGGCGAAACCAGCGCAGGTGAAACCAGCGTCGGGCGAAACCAGCCCCAGCGAAACCAGCCCCGGCGAAACCAGCCTCGGCGAAACCAGCCCGTGTACCCCGGGACCCCCAGCTGGCGACCCTCCTCGGGACCCTGGGGGGGTGGGCGGCATGCTTACCTTGGACCACCACCTCCCATCACAGGCGGGACCTCCCCAGGGATCCCCGCTGGCGGCCCTTGCCAGGACCCCGTGGGGGGGCGGCAGTCTGACCTGAGACCATACCCCCCCACCACGGGCGGGACCTTCCCCGGCGGAAGTGTCAAGCTCCAGGGCCGCGCATGGTGAGGAAGTCTCCAGCGAAGCTCGGAGGAGCAAGAGGTCACGATACGAGATGCTCCGCACCAGCTGCGCCGGCAGATGATCCGGAACTCTTCGAACGCAGCCCGAGCTCCCGAGCCAATCTTACCACGACATCGCCCTCGTCCTCGAGATGCCTGCCCGCCACCGACGCGCCTGGGGGGCGCGACGGGGGCGAGGTGCGCAGAAGGCGGCGTGGTTCTGGGAGTGGTTCTAGGAGGAGGGAGGAGAGGAAGGAGGGAGGAGGGGAGGAGGGAGGAGAGGAGGGAGGAGGGAGGAGGAGGAGGAGGAGGAGGAGGAGGAGGAGGAGGAGAGGAGGGGAGGAGGAGGGGAGGAGGGGAGGAGAGGAGGAGGAGGAGGAGGAGGAGGAGGAGGAGGAGGAGGACTCGCGCGCGCACGGAGAGGGCGCGAGCTCTCGGCAGAGCGACGCGCGGCAGCCACCGGCGCGCGGCGGCGGCGCGCGGCGGCCGCGCGGGCGACGGCGGCAGACGAGCGAGCGCAGCGACGGCGGGGGCGGCGGCAGCAGCCAGTGGCGACGACGCCGTGGGCCAGCGCCAGCCCGCTCGGCGGGCGGGCCTCGCAGCGCCAGGAGGGGAAGAGGCAGGAGGGGGAAAAAGGCACGGGCACAATGGATCGTCGACTCCCAGGGAGACATGGGAGGATATGGGAAGTGGGGGGGAAGACAGAAACCCAGGAAGCATGGGAAAATCTGGGGAATCCGGTTATTTGTGTGTCCCAGGGCCCCTTCAAAGAGGTTGAGTAGGAGGAGGAGTAGAGGGGTGGACAAGGGGGAGTTGGAGGAGGGAGCGAGGAGAAGAGGGCTGGTGGTTGTCACTGCACAGGAAAGTCATGTCTCGAGCAGAGCAACATGCACTACGACAGCGTCGACGCCCAGCGTCGACGCCGCCGCCGCTCCGCCGCCGCCGCCGCCGACGACGACGACGCCGACGACGCCGACGACGGCGGAGACGGCGGAGACGCGGTGCGCTTACGATCCGCACCGAAGCACGGTTTTATGAAAGGACCTACCCTGCGAGCTTGGGTACAAGGGCGCCCTCGGGGGCGCGAAATTATTCGCGCTTCGCGGTTCGGCTCCGATTCCTCATCATCCTCCTCTTCTCCCCTGGGAGGCGGCGCGAGAGCGCGAAGTTATTCGCACTTCGCGCAGCGCGAAGCGCGAAGTTGGGAGCCCTTGTTGGGTACGGCACATCGTTGAATGGTGCTGCGCCCCCCCCCCCGCCCCTCAGGAGGAGGGGGAGGGGGCAGGGCTGGACCTAAGACCGGTGCTTTTGGCGAGCTCGTGGGCCGTTTTCGTTTCGACTCCGTTTTGCGATAGAAAGGCGGATTCGAGACAAAAGCGAGGGAAAGTGAAAACAAAACGAGAACGAAAAACACCGATCAGGTTCAGCCCTGAGAGGGGGGAGGAGAGGGAAGCAGGAGAGATGAAGGGGGGGCGAGACGAGGGGAGGGAGGGAGGGAGGAGGGGCATGGAGCGGGAGGAGGGAGCAGTGAGAGCTCCGCAGCGCCCTGGCCCCCCCCCCCTCGCCCGGCCACCCTGGCGGCCGCGCCGGCAGGACGACCTCGACAAGGCCCTCCGCTGAGCGGCGCGGGCCCCGGAGCGAGTGCCCTTCTCCCTCGCTGGATTGCTTGCCGTCCTCCTCGGCTCAGGAGGGAAAAAACACAGACACAATGAATCGTCGATCCCCCAGAAAATATGAAAATATGGTATGTGGGGGGGAGACGACCCCCCAGAAAATATTGGAAAATATAAGGGAATCTTGTTATTTGTGTGTATTTATTTGCGTGTCCTGGGGCCCCTTCATCAGCTCCCCAGACCCCCTCGCGCTGTGAACAGAAATCACGACGGGAGGTTTTTCGCTACTTTCTCGGCCTCCGGGGTCCCTCACCAGGTTTCGGGACCGGCAAAAAACGTCTCGGGATGAAAAACCGGTCCCGGGGAACCTCCTCCTCCTCCTCCTCCTCCTCCTCCTCCTCCTCCTCCTCTCCTCCTCCTCCTCCTCCTCCTCCTCCTCCTCCTCCTCCTCCTCCTCCTCCTCCTTCTCATACTCCTCCTTCCCCCCGTCGACGTTGTGAACAAAAATCGAGACTTCGGGGGTCGGGGTCTCCCTCCGGGGAGGAGAGGGCATCCATACCGCCACCCTTGCCTGGTTTTTCCTCCCGCCCTTTGGCCTCCCGGGAGGCCCTCGTCGCCGCCGCCGGGGTTCGCCTCGGAGCTCTTGGTCAGAGCGCACCCCGGGAGAGGTCCAGGGCGGGCCCGCCGGGGGCGCGACTTGCCCCGACGGCGGCGGTGACAGCATGATCACGCATCAGCTGCTCACGAACGGAATTTGTTGTGGCCTCGAGTTGGTGCCTTCGCCATCGTATGTTTCTTCGTCTTGCAGTTATCCGTACGATCCCTACTATTGTTATTAGTCGCATTATCAGTGTTATCCTTGTTGTTGTTATCATCAACCGTAGTTGATTGTGATTATTATTAGTGGCATTATTATTCCCTCGTCAACTCCCTCTCCCGCCGCCGGGGGTTGGGTCCCATCGCGGCTAGCTGGCAGCTGGCACCAATCCAAGCTACTTGGGTCCAACCCCTGCCGCGTCCGGAGTTCCTGAGTCCGAGCTTGGCCACGTCCCCAGTTCGCAATTCGCAGGGACAACTCCTGGCGGCTGCTAAAAACAAGAGGTGCGTTGCATATGCTCTTTTCGAAAACCACTCGGAAACTTCTCGGACGCCCTCGCAGACGTTTCTCAAAAGCCCTCCCAGAAGGCCTCTGCGAACGCGTTCGTCAGCCTCGCGAAGACTATCATAACCCCAAACAAGTCTCTCAGAAGCCTCCCAGGTGGCCCCTTCGAAGCTTCCCAAAAGCTTCTCGTTAAAGGCCTTTTCGACAACTTGTTCGACGCTTCTCTGGACCCTCAGGACAAACAGCTCTGAAGCCCATCGTAAGCTTCCCTTAAGCCTCCCACAAAGTCGATGCGAAGCCTACATCAAATGCGTAAGATAAGCAATTCATAATAGCTCAAACACGTGGGTAGCAAAGTGTCAGACGTAACGCTTCTGATAAGCCTGTCCGAAGATTGCTCTCAAGCTGCTCCAAGGAGCCCCCTCAATACCTTCTCACAAATGTCTCAGAAGTTCTCTCGCGAGCGGCCCAGAAGACTCCCAAAACCCCTCAGAAGCCTCTCGGACGCCCTCGCATACGCAGACGGCCTTCCAAAAATATTGGCCTCTCGATCGCGGGAATCGATCGGAAGCTCCCGGTGAATCCGATCGGAAGCCTTCCCAGAAGGCCTCTTTGCGGCAGTTCGGCTGCCTTGCGAAACTTACCAGAAGACTCCCAACGGGACCCCTCCGCCTCCTCCTCCTCGTCCTCCTCCTCCTCGTCGTTCTCCTCCTCCTCCTCCTCCTCCTCCCCCTTCTCCTCCTCCTCCTCATCCTCCTCCTCTTCCTCCTCCTCCTCCCATACAGCTTCTTCGAAACCCGTCAAAAACTTGTCGGAACTTTCCCCAAGAGGCTTTCAGACACCGTTCCGAAGCCTTGCAGACGCTTTTCGTTACAGTCGGCCCAGATTAGTAGGTCGACCCTGCCAAATCAAAGGTACCCTTGTGTCCTGTGTCTTGCGACCCATGCCTCCAGCATTTCTGTGGCAACGTGGCCCCCGGAAGGGTCTTGTGTCCTCTCGCGTGTCCTCTCCAATCAAGTCTGATTGTAGCCTGCCGGCCAACAACAGCTCTGAAGTCTCTCGTAGCGTGTCCGCTTGATTGTCGCAAAGCCTCTCCGAAGCCTCTCAACAAGGCCCCTCATATGCCACTCAGAAAAGTTTCAATAGCTTGTCAGAGGCGAAGCCTCTGAGAAGCTTCTCATAAAGCTATCAAGAGCATGTCGGAAGCCTACTAGAAGCCTCGAAGCGTTTCTCCTCCTGTTTCTTGCCCTCCTCCCTCCTCCACTCCCTCCTCCTCCTCCTCCTCCTCCTCCTCCTCCTCCTCCTCCTCTCCTCCTCCTTTCCTCTCTCCTCCTCCTCCTCCTCCTCCCTCCGCTCTACTCCCCGTCCCTCTCCTCCTCCTCCTCCTCCCCCTCCTCCTCCTCCTCCTCCTCCATCCTCCTCCTCTCCTCCTCCTCATCCTACCCTCCACTCCTCCCCCTCCCCCCTCCCCTCCCCCCTCCCCCTCCCCCTCCCCTCCCCATCCCTCCCCCCCCCGCCCTGGCCCCCCCCGCCCCCGCCCCGAACAGCGGGGCCCATGGGCCGACGAGGAGCGGGCACGTCTCGCTCCTCCTCTCCGCGCGGCCCTCCGGCCGCCTCGCTGCGCGCCCGAAGAAAGAAGAGGGGCCGACGCGCGCCGACGCCGCCGCGGCGCCGCCGCCGCCAGCTCGAGTTTCGAGCCTCGATGGGCCGCGAGCCTCGAGCCTCCCTCGAGCCTCGAGCGCCGTGGCCCTCGGCCCTCGTCGGGTGTTGCCAGAAGTGCCCCTGGCCCAAGGTGGCCCAAGGTGCCCCGCAGGATTTCCAAGGAGAGCCCCCGCGGCCTCCTCCTCCTCCTCCTCCCCCTCCTCCTCCTCCTCCTCCTCTCCTCGTCCTCCGTCCTCATCCTCCTCCGCCTCCTCCTCCGTCCTCCGCCTCCTCCCCTCCCCTCCTCATCCTCCCTCCTCCTACTCTCCTCCTCCTCCGCCTCCGCCCTCCGCCTCCTCCTCTCCCCCTCCTCCTCCTCCCCTCCTCCTCCTAACTCCTCCTCCTCCTCCTCCTCCTCCTCCTCCTCCTCCTCCTCTCCAGTCGACCAGCGCACCCCCTGCGAGGCCCAGAGGGCCCCCAGGGGCTCCGCAGTGGAGCGAAGAGAGCTGGGGGCACCTTATGGCCAGGGGCACCTGCGGCAGCCCCCGGCCCTCGAGTCGAGCCTCGAGGGTCCCTGGGCCCCTCGAGGCTCGAGGGGGAGAGGGGGGAGGAGGGGGAGGGAGGAGGGGGGAGGAGGGTAGGAGGGGGGAGGAGGGGGAGGAGGGGGGAAGGGGGGGGGAGGGGGGGGGAGGGGGGGGGAGGGGGGGGGAGGGGGGGGCAAGCCGCGCCCCTCGGCGCTCGAGGGTCGAGGCCTTTCTCGTTGGTGCTCGGCTCCTGCGGGTCGCGGGTCGAGCGCCCCAGGCAGGCCTCGCGCCTCGCCTCTCGAGGGCCGAGGTTTTTTTGTTTTTGCGGGCGCTTCTGGGGGCTGGCCGTCGCCGCGGCCGGGCGCGGCTCGGAAGGCTGCCTCGGGATGGGCCTCGGGAGGGCCCCATCGCACCGTTTTCGCGGCATCGTTCGGACGTGTGCATCCTTCGGCGAGGACGATCGACTTGAGCAGTGGCGAAGCGTCCCGGCTTGCCTGTAGGCCCACCAAAGAGAGTTGTAAGAACGGTTTGTGGCCTGCACGAGATGTTCTTGGAACATGTCTGGTTGAGACGGTCTTGTTTTCACACATCGGGTTTTGTGTTCTGAGGACCTTGTTTATGCCATTGGAACACTGTGGGGTTCTAAGGTCATTTCGTGGTAGAATTACACGAATGCCGGGACGGTCGGTCCCTGCTCAAATCGTTCGGACGTGTGTATTTTTCCTCGGCCAGGATCATCAAGGAGCATGTAGGATCATCTTGCGAAAAACACGCGCGAAACCGAAACATGCACGGAGAATGGACATCCGAGCGATGGCAAGTGTGTGGGTGAATCCATCGTCGCCGTCGTCGTCGCCGCCGCCGTCGTCGTTTTTTTGCCGTCGTCGGAGTGGAAGGCAGGAGAGAGGCGGAGCCAGGAGTTGGGCACGAGCGGAGTGGAATGGGAACGGGATCAACGATTTAGTCGTGCGCAGACGATGCTTCGGAACGTACATGTTTGTGTGCGAAGCCACGGCTGGAACGATCCAAGAACCCGCGCCCTTCCCCGGGTACATGCTGGGGTGCCACAGGCCTGGTCGAATCACGGATGCAGAGCAGACTGGCCGAGGAGCCCACGACCCCCGCAGATCCCAGCAGCCAGATTCGGGGCCGAACGCCTTGTCGTGAGAAGCGTGCCCGAAACCTCCCCCCTCGCGGGCGACCCTTGCGGCGGCCTCTCGAGGCCTTGCCCCGCCTTCCCCGGGTCCCTCGGTCTGGCTTCCTCGCTGGGGTTCCTTGGTTATGTTGCCTTACATTGCGTTGCCTGGGTTCCTTGGTCTCGCGCTCCTCGGGGGTCCCCGAGTTCCCTGGGCTGTACGAAGAGATGCCAAGTAATGCCAGACGAGGGCAAGCACTGTAAAGAAATGCCAAGCGAATCCAATGAATGCCAAGCAATACGGATCATCGCAAAGCAATGCAAAACAATGCCAAGCATTGCAAGTCATGCCTAGCATCGAAACGCAATCCAAACCAATGCTAACCAATGCCAAGCAATGCTAAGCAAGGCAAAGACATGCCAATCCAAACCATGCAATGCCAAGCAAGCCAAAGCAATGCCAAGTAACGCCGCTTACATCGTTCCCCTAATTGGGATCGCGCCGGGTTCATCATGGTACGTGGTGTTCAGCGTCGTATTCAAAAGCTCGTCGGGCCAATAGCGAGCCATAGGAAACCCTTGAGTCTGATGCCATTCCTCGACAATCGCGTGCTTGAGGGGATCGGTCCGCTGCTTCCAAAAGCGCCCAGAGAAGGGTGGGCTGAGCATTGGCC